CCCTGAGCTGAGGCTGTGTTGCCTGTGACACTGCAGAACAGCTGAACAACAGCCAGGACTGGTGACAAGCAGGCCCCAAGGGGGTGGAAGGGCAGCAAGAGCACTCTGCCTGCCAGCACTGAAAAGCCAACACCAGCAGCAAGCTCTGAGTGACACCTAACTGCTACTGCCAGCTCCCACCAGACACACTGGGGAAGCTCCTGAGGGCATTGCTGAGCTGTTAAGCAAGCTAAACAGATACCTTTAAGGCTAAAACTGCCCCTGGAGGAACTTTGCCAGAGAAATGTGGCCAACAAGGGTGACTGCTGTTACATGGACTTGTAAGAGATTATTTCCATCCCCTGACTTTTCATACATAATTATGGGGCAAGTCCTCCTAGCATAGTCAGAGATGAGACAGGTCCCTTCAAATTACATTTCAGGGCTGATACTTTTGGCAGGTGCTCTGAATCTTCACCTTGAAGAGCCTAATTTATCTCTTTTCTGAACTGAGTGGACAGAGGGATTGCCTGAGTAAGCTCCCTATGGTGAGGGTGGCCTCAAGTTCAGTGGCCTGACTCCTGCTATTGAAATAGTCTAGGTATCAATAAGTCCTGCACTTTGCCAGGATTGCTAATGAATAGCCCTGCTTACCTATCAGAACATCAGAAATAATGCTTAATTATTCTTCCCAGGCTACAACGTTTGGTTTTATTTGTGTTGAGCTTCATCCTGACCCCACCTTAGCCACTATCTACAAATGTAAAGGTAGAAGCACGTTCAAGATGGAAAAAAAGGCCTAGTCTGTGCACCTAATTCCTAAAGAGTCACACTAACCTATCAAGTGAATATCTCATGTTGAGGTTACCAGAGTTTAGTATTCTCAGGGTAGACATGGCAGAAATAAATGAAGGCAGTTGTGCAGTAACATAAAAAAGACACTTAAACACTAAACACAGTTATTCCAATATATGATAGGAGTGCAATGCAGTCACCTAAACATAGGCAACTGATACCATTTTAGAAACTGGAGTATTTTGTCCCATGTTCAGCTGCAGTTGGGAAGGGCCAGAGTCTCCCAAATTACATCAGGTGGCCCTGTGTTTTAGGGTATCTCAACTGACCTTAGAAACCTTTGTTTAGGCAACTGAATTGTACCCTGACAGTCCTGATACTTGCATGGAAATGCAAGTCATGGTGAACGGTACCTAATGATGAATTACATCGTGATTATCTTACATGTTCAAAACATCTATACAATTTGCATTGAGGTTCAGCAATAAACATTCTGCTGATACAGCTACATGGAATACTCAGTTATCCCAGGATTACTTGGCTTTGTAAAATCTGGTTCTGAATGCATTTGGTACTCTTCCAGGATGTAGAACTGGGAGGCCAGAGATCAAGTGGTCAGAAAATGAAAGAGAAACAATATCTAGGAAACTTCCTGCATCCTATCCAGAGGAAGAGTCAAAGGAAAATAATGCTGAAAATTTGCAATGATGGACTGAGAGGAGAAGAAAGATGATACCAGGAATGGTAAACAAAGGCAGGAAATAGCCTGCTGGTGGTGTTAGTTCTTGATTAGGAGCCCATTAAGTTTTGGCTAGAGGGCTAAACCCAAGGAGTCATTTTGTCAGCCCAAATGTGGAGAGAAAACAGAAAGACAATAGAACAATTAGACAGAGGAAGAGAGCAGAAGTGAACAAACACATTGCCCCTATTACAGTGACACATAGCTAGAGCTTTGTAGCAATACTGCCCAGCTGCCTTTAGATCAAGTGAAAATGAGAAAATAAATCAAACTTTCTCTTGACTGTCAAGGGTAAAGAGAGAACTGTTTCTATTTCAGCCACCGGTAACCCGATAGCTTGCCACAGTGTATTTCACATAAGGAAGTCTGTAAAGCAACATCTAAGTGTTCCTTGTGATTAATATTCCTTATGATCTCCAGCCACCTAATCGCATCCTGACCTCCATGAGGGTCAACTGTGAGAAGGGATGGGCTGTGGGAGCAGGGTGGGCTACCAGGAGGTGCTGGTGAATGACGGAGCAGCTGGAGAGAACAAGAGGACCTCTGCAGACATGAATAAATAAATAGTGGCAAACCAAAGACACTGACCTCAGGAATAATGCCATGGGTCCAGAGCGGCACAGAGCCATTGAAAGAAGCAGGGCAATCTGTTCCTAACCTCCAGATGCACTGAATGTAGGATATGCTTTCTTATTTCAATTTAATCCAAAAAACTAGAGCATGAAATGCAGCACTATCCTGAGACACAGAACACTATCTCTGAAAGGATCCCCAGGATGCATTAATCAGTGCTTGGCCTGCCCAATATGCTGCATAACACAGGGCAGATATTCTGCACTGCACAGTAATTCACACAATCTGAAAGGTAACAACAGTAATAACCTGGTTTTTTTTGTGTTTGTTTTTTTTTTCAGGAATTAGGTGCATTCCTGCATATCTAATGGCCTGGACCATAAGACAGTCCCTCTCCCATCCAGATGAGCTTTGTAGGCACCACTGGTCCGAGATAGATGTGTCTGAGCTGATGGGTCAATAGATGTACATCTGTGCACACGGACTTCACATGATATCGATGAGGCCAGCTGGATCAAATACATACAGTGATAATTTTCTTTGCAGCATAGGGTTTCTCTGAATAGGTATTGTATGGTAACCTGGAACCATGCAGACCTCCAAACCAACAGTTTACCCAATCCTTACCATGGCTCTAAGATTTTTTTCAACAGGACACCTTTAATTGCTTATAAGCAAATTAATTTCCAATCTGTTCTATTTCCTCTTCTTAATCTTATCCTCAGAATATGCTTTCAGACATTAAAACATCCAAGTCGAAGAAAATGGCCTCAGGCGTGAAAATGACTAATAGTCCCCTACAAAAAAAATCTGGAAATCTGAACCAGTGTACTACACACATTTTTTGTTTCACCTTGAAGGAAAAAAAAAGGTTCTAATACAGAAAAAAAGATGCTCTATTTCCATTTTTCATTTATGCAAATTACACTCTGAATAAATAAATCTACATAATCCACCATCCTGCTAGACAACTTGCAGTAATATTTGCCAAGAGAAAGACAGGCTTTTCTGATACTAATGCATAAAACATGCTGAATAGAAAAATTAAAACAAATCATATTGAGTAAATAGCTGCTGTGTAGCTCTGGAAAGATTAATAGAGGTACTGATGAGTTACTCAGGATTGTCTTGTTCAATTATTTCAAACATGCTACCAGTTAAAGGTATATTGAAGTTAAGGTTTAATAGAGACAGTCATATCCCAAACCATTGAAATCTATAGGAATTTTTTTCCCTTAATTTCCATGGAACAGGCATGTCAATCTTTCTGCTGAAGCACCCAACAGTGTCAGCTTGTTAGTCCTGGAAAACCAACGTATTCAGCATGTAGCTGATGTGCTGCGCAGGGGCTGCAGCCCCAAGAAAGCAGATCTGTTTTGGGAATGTAGGAAGTGCCTTCCCTAATTTGATCAAAACTGATCTTTGCTCTGTGCGTTCTCTGTCCGTGTGAGATACAGGCTTGATGACTGTAAAGGTTGCCACGAGTCTTGAGACTGTCACAGGGGAAGGATAAAACAAAAATCAGTGTCAGTGTGTTCTTTATCGGTATCCATAGCCTTCTCCCGCTGTGATTGCATAGGGTAGATGATGAAAGGCAACTCTTATTCTCTATGGTCCATCCAGAAACTATCAAACTCTGATCATACTTGGTGCTTAGACACTCTCCTCTAAACTGTCAAGTATCTTTCCACCCTGGAAAATCTACTCTGGACAGCTGAATCCTTATGTTGTTTTCTCTAAAGAATAAAGACTATTCCATAGGGCTGGGTCCATCAAAAGGCTTGAGTATTATAAACTGCATCACTACATTTTTACATACTGTGATGTTTCATGGAATTCAAAGATATCTTTTCTTGGTGGAGAAATCTAAGTTCCTTACATGTTTCCTGAGGGCAGTGGAGTGTGGGATACACAAAGCCTACAGACGGAGTAGGAAGCTACTTAAGAAGGCCAGTAAGAAAAATTAAGAAAATATGTGCCTCTGCTAAGAAATCACAGCCACAAGACTGGCACTAAAAACAGTGTTTTCTAACAATTACCAGCTATCTGCAGGAGAATAAATTCTTTCTATTTGTTTACTGTACAGTCTGGTTGTTCAAAGCATACATCTGGGATATGGTATGTCACCCCCCTCCACCAGCTGCCAGGAGAGTTTCTCCTTGGTAGGCTATTTGGTGTTGCAGACTTGAGTTATTTACTTGTCAAATCTGCTCCACCATGAATGAACATACCTGAATATACTTTGGAAGAGAGAAAAAGACTGATCTCCAAATAACCAGCAAACAGTTTTGTGGCTGTGGCATTCAGCATTGACACCAGGTCAAATCCAACTTGCACACAGTGGAAATCTGAAGGCAAGCCTGTCGCCTTGGCCACCGGGAACTTCTTCCTGCAAGGTCTAGTAGGCTGGCTTGGAGAATGGTTTGCAGATCAGCTCCTTCAGGCAACATGGGATGGGGTTACCTTATGAGAGAAACACAGCATGGCAGGTACCCATGCCCTTGGGGACCCTCCTAGCAGACAGTTAAATGGTCTGGCGAAGTGAGGTCTGAATCCATGCATTCATCTACTAAAAAGGCTAGATGAGTTAATAAAATTCCAGGCTTCCAAAACTCGTGGTATTGGATTTAACGCAGTGGATTTACAGCTTTTATTTCTAAAACCATTATTTTAAAGCAATGGGTTTTGCCTGAACACAAATCAACACCGAAAGAACATAAAGAGAACGGGCGCGCTAGGCAGCAGCCTGGGTAGTTTGGTCTGACGTTGCAGTGGAAGGATTTATTCTCCCCACCGCATCGAAAATACAGCACCGTGTCCGAACCCGGCCCGGACCGCGCGGGGACCGTGAGGGGCGGGGCGGAGCGGGCGCCGCCAGGCTCGGGGCCGCCAGGGCGCAGGCGCGGGCCGGGGCCCCGCAGCGGCGCAGGCGCGGCCGCCGGATCCCATCAGGCTCGGGGCGGCGGGAGCGCAGCGGGCCCAGCATGTCGGAGAAGAAGCAGCCGGTGGACCTGGGGCTTCTGGAGGAGGACGACGAGTTTGAGGAGTTCCCGGCCGAAGGTGCCGGACGGGGCGAGGCGGGGCGGGCCGGGACGTGGCGGGACGGCAGGCGGCGGCTGTGGTGCCGCCCGCAGGCCGCGGCCTGGGCCGGCCGAGGCGGGCAGGATGCGGCGGGCCCGGGGCTCTGTGCCCGGGATGCTCTGTGCCGGCCCGCGGGGCACCGCCACGCTGTCCTGGGCTGCTGTCCTGGGCTGCCGCCCCGCTTCAGCCACACGGGAGCGGCTTCCCCGCGGGTCCCTGCCCAGCCCTCGCCGCGGTCAGGGACTACAGCCACGCCAGGGCCGGGATCGAGCGCGGTCGTGGTGCCCGTGCCCGGCTCTGTGCGGTGTCACGGCGCTGGGCACATCGCCCTGGAAGTGCTGTGTCATTGTGCGAGGGAGCTGCGAACAAGTGCGGGAGAAACTTCCCTCCTCTCGGCACTGAAGATGAGAATCCCCAGGGAAGAGCAGGGGTGAGGGCTGAAAACTGAGTGTGAGGTGCAAACGAATGTGAAAAGGAAATGATGTGCTCCGTAGTTACTCTGAATCACTTTACCTTTTGAAGCACAGATATTTATGTGTTGGTTTGCTTTTCATAGGTACAAATATACTGAATGAGGAAGTTGAATTCAGTAAAACAGCTCACTGTCCTTTTACAGAGATAATCTGGGAAACATCTCTATTAGGGCATGTTTGTTTTCTATGTCCTTAATTCTAGAAATTGTCTCAAGCTGTGGATAATGAGAAATTTTATATATAGCACGATGGATGAAAAGTTAGGCGCCGTTTTCTGTAATGTCTTCATTACATATGGTTTTTCCGTGGCCTTAGATATCCTGAATCCTTCAGTACTGGTAAAAATTGTATTTCTCCACTTGTTGACAGAAAAATTTAAGAGTGTGAAATACTAGCTGAAGTAAACTTAGAAGACTATCTCTTGTTTTTCATATGTATTTCCTAAACAGGAAAAAAGTGTTTAGCTGTGCTGCTAAAACAAAGTACTGTGCAGGCTTTCTGGGTGGAACAGAGATTTTAATAGGAGTGATCACCAGCAAGGCTTCTTGCTGTTCCCTCTTGCAGAAAATAAGAACCTCAAAGAGGCCCATTTGAATCTTCAAGTGAGGTCACAGTTTTGAGGTGTTATAAAGAGTGTTCAAACCAATTTGACTGTTACCTGCAGTGCTTAGGAGAGTGCTGTGATAACTGTGTGCTCAAACCCATCCCACACTGTTGTTCCTTCAAGTTAAAACACCAGTTTCAATGCAGCAGAAAAAACTTTGTGTTTTATTACCTAGGTTTTAACCAAAGGAAAATAGATAATGCAAAGCTGTGTTAAGGGATGAAAATACTGACTCCTGTGGTTTATTCCAACTTAAAATTTTTCTTAAAGGAATTTATCAAATCAAGTTTATGTATCAAAAGCAGACATATACAATTTTTATAGGACACTACTACTAGCATTAGCATGGTAGATTAAAGTGTATGGGAATCAATCACTCAAGAATTTTTTGTACAGTGCATTTCAGAGTATAAAATGTAATGTATAAAATAATACAGGAGGGGATTAAAAAACCCCACCTAAATTCTAAAAATTGGTTTTTGTTTCCCAAGTGCAAAAATAGGACAATCAGTGATCAGCACATTAAAATACATTCTTAAGGAGTCCAACCATGACAAAATTATAATACTTAAGGGTAGTGGGCTTTCAAATGCTCTTAATACTTTCAATCCCTAATAATGCTCCATTATTTTTTACTTGTATTCAGTCACAGGCATATAATGTAGCTGGGAGTGATAACTTTATTGTGCAATTTTGGAGTATAGTATCAACATACAGGTGCTGTAGAATCTTGTAGCCACAGTGATGAGAATGTAATTCAGGCTTTATTTTCACACTGTTCCACTCCTTCAGTGTGGAAGATCACATGGGCCGTTCTGACTCTTTGTCACTCAGTGTGATTTGGAGCATGTTTTCACAGTCTGCCCAACTGATCTTTTATGATTGAAGCTGCTGTTTGTTGTGCTGGATACAAGTTACTAGCAGATTAATTTTTTTTTTAAGTTTGTGGTTCTGTCTGAGTTACTTGTATGTTTGCAGATGACTTTGTAATTTTAAACTGGTTTGAGCTTTCTTGTTTTGTATCTTTGAAATCCAGATAAATAATTGGTAAAGCTTTTTTATTTTAACAAAAAAAATCAATTATATATAAATAGGCAAAGCTTATTGCAGGCAGTTCTAAATTATAAGTCCTTCTCTTTGAGCAATTAGCAACACAACTAAATTCAAATAATGTGTTTTTTTTAATCTGAATTTTCCCTTCACCTTTTCTTCCCATGTTTTTTTTTCTTTTGCTCTCATAGCAGGATTCTTATGGTCCTTCATCTTTTCCCATTATATAATTTATATGAGTAGGGAAGTTTAATTGTAATGCCTTTTATACATGTGTCTTCAATCAGTTACAAATGGATTTTTGTGTCCTGGTGAATGACAAATATTAATTTTGTTGCCTGTCAGTGTTAAAAAAAGGAGGTGAATATGCAAAGACCAGGCTTTTTTCTTAGAAAGTTAACTGTTCACAGGGAATTAGTTTTTAATCTTTTACCTCACTAGCTTCCCCTCCCCCATACCTCCATCAGTGTTTAATGTTACTTCAGGCCTTAGTCCTCAAACTGTTCTGTAGAAGGGCAGCAGATTGCTCACTGAACTGTAAGGGGAAGAACTCTTTAAATACACTACCAGACTTTGAGAAAGACAAGTGACAGAATTAGGGGCTTCTTTTGTTTTGGTAGCATTTGAAAAACTTGGTGTCGTTCAGTAGGGGAAAACTGAGAAACTCAAAGAAATTGAATTGAGCCCACTTGTGTTTTCATGGTGATTCTGAGCTTTTAATTTTCATCATTTTTCTAAACTATTTAGTTTGATCATAATTTTTTTTAATAATGATGCATTAAGTGGGCAATGAGTAATTTGTCAAGAATGATGTGCCAGATTACTTTTTTATAGGACAAATAGAAATAAGGTTAGCAAGTGGGCATTTAGTGCCTTGCCTCTCTAAGGAAACAGCTTCTGCTGTCTTGGGAACCCAGAAATAGCTGGTTACAGGTATCAGCTGCTGTTTGCAGATGCCTGTTTCAATTTGCCTTTACTTCTGCATCACGGAGGACCTATGCATGTGTTTTCGCAAAAGCATCTGATACGTATTCACTTTTTTATTCTGAAAAAAAGTATATAAATACAAACTGGAATCTCACACCTTTTGCTGAGCTTTTAGGAATCAAGTACTCGATGTTGCTTTCTTTTTACAATAGTGTTACAGTTTGTCCATTTGTTTATCCATTTGTATGTCCATTGTCCAAAATGTCTTTTATGAATGTGTAATCTTGAAAACCAAGATGTGAAGTGTGTAATGATTTTTTTTAACCAGGTTTCACTTTTATTGTAATTCAAGAAATTGTGAGGCATGTTTTAGATCTTTCTGTCTCATAAACACTTGAATGTGATCCAGACTTCTCTGTTAAACTTAACAGAAGCCTGCCTTACCCAGAGGCTGAGCTAATCTGTCAGTAACACATGGTACCAAAGTTATGCAGCATACAATATTTAGACCTCCTTTTCTGTCTTTAGATTGGACTGGTTTAGATGAAGATGAAGATGCACATGTCTGGGAAGACAATTGGGATGATGACAATGTAGAAGATGATTTCTCCAATCAGTTAAGGTAATTTTATTTTAACTTACTGTTCTAGAAGATGGGTGAAATGTTTAAAATGGCACTGATTAGTTATTATTTCAAAGTTTGAAATCTGCTTAATTTAAAAAAAATAGAAGTCTGAAATGGAAATAAATGAAAGCTCTACTTTATGCTTTTCTATTTAAAGTCTTTCAGAACCAGACTTAGAGATTACAGCACTCTGAAGTACTGATCAGGATTTCATCTTTTAATGATTCTAGTGATCCCTGAAATATGCCTTATGATACCAGGGGGACAAACAGTGCAAAGATCTCTGCAAGCTGCAACACAGTTCACACTTTCTCAATTTACCATTAGATCCCTTTTCTAATGACTTTCCTGCATATATGTGAAAGTTCTGAATTGTGCTGCAAGGATTAATGGCAAGGCATCCAAGATTATCTCTTCCGTGCTATGTGGTGTGCAAAGTTTTTTGTTTGTACTTTCAAATAGCACTGCTGTTCTTTGTCCAAATGGGCAAATTTTCTAGAGATCAGTGATCTGTAATAATGTTAAGGTTCTCTTCTGTGTGATGAGCATGCTGTTTATGAGCAACAACAGCAAAGTAATTGTTAATTATATGCTTTAAAAAAAAGTGATAACAATTTGGGTACCTCTAAACCAGTTGCTTAATCCTCTTTGTTACTTGTTTCAGTAATCCTTTACTGATGCATAATTATAACTTAAATTGTTTCAAGCATCAGAACAAAGCCAGATTTTATAATTAATCCCTCAGTATGTTGCGTGAGGAGCAAACTGTAATACAGCCTGCTTAAACAGTTCCTGGGTTGATCTCCCTTGTTGTACTCCAGCAAAAGCAATTATTTTTGTATCTTCTACATAAAAGATCTTTGGTATAGTTTTTTTCTTAAGAGGTTGAAAGGCATAAAACTGTAATATTGGAAAACAGGTTGATAGGTAGTAAAAAAGACTTTCAAGAGGTATAATAATTCTTGATAAACATAATTGATCTAGACAAACCTTCCCTAACTGGCCTTAATTGTAGCCTGTAGTATTGGTGACTGTGTACTGTTTTGCAGTGTTGCTTGGTTGCAGCATGGTTTTATTTCATCTCTAGAATGGAAATACCGCAGTCTTCCATTTTTAAAATTCCACTACTAACTATGTAAACTAACCTGAAATAGTTTTGGTGATTTGGAGTTCTGTATGTAGAGACACATATGCTAAGATGAGGAGATGAAAAAGGGTGCATCTCTCTGTGTTTGGAGACAGGTGAGGAGCAAAGTGGGGACAGGCCAGGAGCAATAACAATTATAGTTGCTGACTTGCTGTCCTGGCCACAACTAAGGGCAAAAAAGCAATCCTTTCCCTCAGAATTGTTCACTGCAAGGGGTATTTCACCAAAACATAAATAAAACTACCAGAGTGCACTATTTTTAAAACAAAGAAAAAGCTTAAAATTGTCTTGGAAGCACATGCATTTAAATGATTCAGAATTGTTTGGTTTAAGGAAATCTTGAGAATAACTGTATAAGATAATACTTTGGTTTTTCTAGCGTGTTTGGAGTTGTTGCAGGCTCATGGGTGCTGCTTTGGGTCAGAGGGCAATAACTATGATTAAAACAAATATTTGAATTTTTCACTGAGAAGTCACTTCTAGTGATCTGAGATATAAAGCTGAAGTTCAAGAACTACAGAGTAAGGTCAAGGTTACTGGTGTGAATCAAAAAGCAGTATGACGTTGATATTCTAAAATGATTGTATATTATATGGTACATGCAACTTTTAAAAAAATCATTTAACGGGATTGTATCTGTGTGTTTCAGTATATCTATCTCTTCTATACAGAGCTGAATTAGAAAAACATGGATACAAGATGGAAACGTCATAGTTTTTGCAGAATATGGAGTGGCTTAACATGGAACTGTGGATAGACTATATTGAGAAAAGAAGAAAAGGTGGAAAATGAGAAGACACACCTAGTTCATTATCTGCTTGGATTTATTATTGTTTTGTATAAAAAATAAAGTTTTTAATCTTAGCCTTGTCATACATTCAGCCGCTACTCACCTGGTACCTTGTAGTTTGGTTCTGAAATGCCCTGTGTGACAGAATTCATGGACTTGCCTTGGATGCCACTAATGATCTGTCAGTGGCTGACGATCTTGCACCAGCTTCTGTCATGGGGAGCTAAATATGTGTAACTAGAATGAAGACTGTGAACATTTCTGTCACAGGGAATGTGGAGGTGTCAAAAAGAAATAAAATACTGGTATATTCCAATTAAAATGTGGTAGAGATAGCAGTTTTAAGGAGTGATAAAGCTTGTTTTGCATCAACACTTTATTTCATAATTACTTGGGTATTTTTGTTAGTAATTTCATGTGGATGCTGGTTTGATAGACTCAAAACATAAAACCTGCTTTAAAGTGTCCTATGACAGCAGAAACCCTAACTCTCCAATCTGGTCCTGTCATTTCTCAGATCTGTTAACGAGGACACCTCTCTGGAGGTGAAAGAAGTTTAAGCCTAGGAGTCTCTGCTGAAATTGCCTCCAATTTGCCGGTTGCAGCAGTTCATGTGTATCACACGAACAGGCCTGCTGAAAACGGAAATCAAACTTCCAACTCGTTTCACAGAGGCCAGCAGATAGTTGCCAGGTAGATATGGCAGTAGTGACTGGATTCGATTACTCTCTGAACTAGAAAACAAGGTGAAAATTGCAAAACCTATGACCGCTTCCATGAATCTTCCCCAAAGGAGCTGTTCAAGCTGGTGTTTGTAAAGACAGAGGGAGATGTAGCCATGATTCCAAATTTAATTTTATTTTTTTTTTTTAAATAAAGAGGCAACTATAGTTACATACTAACAATTTGAATTAGCTGCTTGCTTTTTCAGCAGTTCACTAGAGAAGCGGAGCCTTAATTGTTATTTATAGTGGGCTTTCAGAATAAAGGTATTAGTTGATGGACATGCAGTTATGGTATTAAATGCTTTAACCTTGTTAACTAAATAACCGAGTCTCTTATGTTATAATGGCATTTATTAATGCCAGATTATTAGGTGGTGCTATATTATAGTGGGGGCAAGATTCACTGTGACCCTTACTGCTTTCTGAAGATAATTCTTTAAAGACTGAGACCTTCCATTGCCATCTGAATGGTTCTGCAAAACTAGATGTTTCAGATGGTGTTGGATGTTGTCAGTTTGTCCAGTTCTGTGCTGCTTGGGAAAAGAAAGGGAGGCCCTTTCAAGTAGGCTTACCCTAGGGTCATTTAAGTTGTTCACATTGAAATGTGTGTCTCAGGCAGCCCAACTCAGTAGAATACATAGTCCTAGAGTTCATATTTTGATAAGTAGGAAATGAAAAGTCTGTCTGTTGAGTGGCAAATAGCAACACAAACATCCTCAGGTTAGTGTTGAGAGTTTAAGAATAAAGTATGTTGAGTACAGTTCTGGGATTATTAATGCATGGGTACTGGGAAGTTGAGTAATGCGACTGACCAAAAGAGGATGACAAAATAATTACGGAGATGTCTGGTGCAGTCTGGAGAGGGACAGCTGCTTTCCATTACAGGATTTTGGAAACTTTACTAAAGCAGCCCTGTCCCATCAATTGCTAGCAGCAGGAGGAAGCCATGGAGGTGGAAAAGCATCTTTGCCTAAAGAAATCTTTGTTTTTTCTGAGCCACAGTTGTGTTAGTATCTTTTTCTGCTTTTTTCACAAAAGCAGAATTGGAAGGAAAGCCTAGGCTGAGGTAGCCTGATGGCTCTGCACTCTTGCAGTAACAGCCTTCAGCTGCTGGGTTATGATCTGAAACCTGGTGTTTTAGAAGGAAGTTGAGGTGATTGACCAGGATGTCACTGTAGCAATTGACCTCAATGTACCTGCTGTTCAACCTTAGAAGGATCTAATCTTCCCATATGGGAAGAGTTTTTTAGACTGGCCATGCTGAGAGGTTTTCTTTGGAGGTGTTCCAGTGATCCCTATTAGCAGAGGAATGCTTGGAGTGGGGGAGATAGGAATGCTTTGGGGTTGTGAGGGAGGACACACTAAGCGAGGACAAGGAGTTGGAAAGGAAGATCTGCAGCCTGGCAAGGGTGGGAACATGGCGAAGAAAGAAATTTAACAAAGATCTGAGCGAAGAAGAGGTTGGGCCTTCTAGTTAAGGAAGTAGGATGTGGGGGGGTGTGTGTGGTGGTGGCTGGGTGTAGGCTGCTGAGTAGTCTGTTCACTGTTTTGGGAAGCAGATTTAGGTTGATGTCACCCTGTGCTTGGGGACCTATCCTCCTCTCAGCCAAGTGGTGGGACTCTTGGCCAGTATCTTTAGTCTGAGCCATGCTGGGATATGTAGCACGTGTCTACAGCTCTCCTCTACATGAAGGAGAGGGTGTTTTGCAGTGTGGGAAAGGTTGGCTTGCTCTGACCTAGATGCTGAGGATGTCTCAAGGCAAAGCACTGTTCAAGTAACTTGGAGGAAAGCTCTGGAAGGTTCCTCATTGCCAATGAATTTGATGCTTTTGCTTTGCCTTGGTCCTTAAGAAACCACACACACATAAGAAGAAATGCAAAGTCACAAATAAGCACAAAAAATAGTGAGCAGTCCAAAGTAAGGCCTCTGGAAAGCCTTCAGTTGAGCTCTTTTGTTTCATAATAGCCTTCCTCTGGCCCTCCCTCTCTGCTAGCTTGCTCAACAGCACCAACAGCTTCCCCACATACTTCTGCTCTAGGGTCACAGTGTGTCCTGTTCCCCACTTCCTGAACTGTGTCCACACTGTGCTGTACAGAATAAGTGTGGGTCCCCATACTGCAGCAGTCCGTGTATTTTGCAAATGCTCTAATACATTTTCCACTATCCCTGGGAAAGGGAGAAGTGTTTTCCCCTTTTATAGTGTACAGTAATTTTAAGTGCTTGGTGTGAGACCCCAGGACCTCATCTTTCGCTGGGTTTGGTAGTATATGAAATGCTCTGCTCATTCAAATGTTTCTTTAGCTTCAGTTACTGCTGTGCATATTCAGCATTTCTAAGGATCAGGATTTATGGGGTACCAAGTCAGCCACCCAGAAAATGAAGAACACACATTATAACCTTTGCAGCTTCTGTAAAGAATGAGGCAAGGACTCCACAAGTGGATACCTTTCCCTGCTAGCTTTTTCTTGAACCTTATTTTTTCTTATCCTGTTTTTTCTTGAACACTAATAAGGATTAATAAGTCCCCTGAGGGATAGGGTGCATGTAGGAAAATAATGATCATAAAATTAAAGACTATGAAAATACATATGTATGGAAAAAGGAATTTATATTGCACAGAGTTACAGTTCCAGCATTTCTTATCTTTTAACTGTCTGACTTTACAGACCTAATAATAATCTTTTAATGCAGGTATGATTTTGTGTTTGCATAATGATACAGCTAAATTTGATTTAATTTCAAGGCATGCAGGGAAGTAAGAAGATTGATGCCCAGAAAGTTTCTGTGATGGAATTTTACTAAAGAATAAATGTTATGTAACATTTCAAACACAGTGAGATCCTTCAAGATGAAGTGTGTGATATAAATGTAAAATATTTGCAAACTATAATTTAGCAACCGTTTTAAAATCACAGTCAGTATTACAACCTCTTACATGTGGCGTGTGAGATCCTTTGTCAACCGAGAACTAAGGGCAGTGAATGTGAGATTCATTAAGTAATTATACAGGAACATTAATTTCAAATTAATTTCAACAGTTGTTTTAGACATTAGCAACCAAATTAGGGGACCAAAGGCAAACAGTAATGCAGCTTAGTACTTTTAATAAATGAAGGCATTTAAAGTGATTTACATAAATCGGATGATAAGTCCTCATTTAATGGGCTTCCAAATGCCCCCGCCTCCCATTCCAGTTCACCTTTGAGCATTTCCAAGCTATGTCTGTGCTCTGCATCTCCCCAGCTCTCTTATTACATTGTGCTTGTCTCAAATCCTTCCTTCACTGCCTTCATAACAAACGGTCAGACTTTCTGGAATTTGTTAGCGTGAGCTGGAACCCTTTAAGGCTTCTGAATCTGCAGTGCTGGGAGGCATGGGAAGGGAAGGGAGCCACTATTGACAAGGCTCCTAGGAAAATAAATGGTGGAGAACAAAAAAAGCAGATTAGGGTATTGGGGGATGCTTGCCTGCAGGCAGGGCAGGGAGATGAAAACCATCCCATCAGCAAGTGAATGGGTCACATGTAATGGATAATGACCAGCCCTTTTCATCTTTCCTGCAGTGAGCTCAAGGCTCTTAATGAAAAGGAACAGGCACTGGTCTGGACTTACATAGCACCTGATGGTTGCAGGGCAGCTCGGTGACTCACCCAGGAGGTGAAACCATCCCTGCCAATGCTCCTGCCATGGGTTCCTCCTGCCGTGAGAAGAAATAAAATAAGTAGAAGCCCTTCCTTCCCGAGGGAGCTGGTAATCTGTGGGATGTAAAAGGTGAGATAGGGCAGCTGAGGAGGGTGAGTGACAGGCTGCATTTCCCTTCCTCTTAGTATTGGTTTGCAGTGTCTAAATAGGATGCAGTGGAATATACAATGCAAGCCTCTAACATCCACAAAGATTAAAACAAGGAATTCTCCCAGTCACCGGGCTGTTCAGTGATACTCTCCACCTGGCAGTAACACTGGGACCTTGTTTTTCAAGACCTGAGTGATGAACTATTGCTATACAGGCACTACTATCAGGGAAAGCATTGGGGTGGCTGGGTGGTACCAGCATATCAAGAAAACAAAGATGTGATGATTCTGTTTGTGCTTAGCTCAGTAGAGCTTTCTTATGTCAAAGAGATATGGTTCAGGTCAGAAATGCAGAAAGATACATAAGCTCTAGAAGAAGAGTTTGATCAATCTTACTCTGAAGTATTTAAGATGTTTGCTTTCCTCCTCCCTTCCCAAGCTGCCTGCTGTGCCCTCAATTCAGGTGAGTGGGAGCTGGTGCTTGAACTGGCAGAGCTGAGACCCAAGCACATTTTCTTCTTGGCTGGCAGTTTGCCATGGAGGAGGATCCCAGAAGGTCATCAGGGCAAATGGAAGACCATGGCAGCAAGAGGCAGTGTAAAAAACCCACCCTTTTTCCCTCTGAAGATTAACATGGGAAAGAGTAAAAATCCCTCCTAAGCAGAAAGCAGCATCTGAGAGGGTATGAGAGCCCACCACATTTTTAATCGCTGTAAAGAGCAATTCGTTCCAAAGTATACATGTGAAATGCAAGACCCCTAATATAACCAGTGGTGTAGATGGATCCATTTCAAGACTATTGCTTCAGTGGCTTTTTAGGGTATATTACTTTTTTTTTTTTTTTGGTGCATATTAAAAATGTAGAGGGTGCTATACAAAGCAGACCTCATCCAATAGGTATGACCTCAGTTCGCTGAGTTTCCTGATGCAGGGCCAAGCCTCTGAGCACTCAGTGCTGCAACCAGATGTGGCTCTTCAGTCTTTTCAGAGCCAGGTTCTGGCTGCAGCTGATCCCTGGTACCTCAGAAGAGAAATGGGCTGTGCAGATATGGCTGCAAGATGGGTGCTACTGTGTGTTGCCTACGGGGAGCCTTGGCTTCAGCCTAGGAATGTGACTTTCTCCCAGCCTCTGACTTGACATTTCACAGATGAAGTATTAGCTGCTAAGAAATTTAAGGGATTTCACAAAAATGTGCGTTGGATTCTGTTCCTTGCTCTGCTGCTCTATGATCAATGTCCATTAGAAGAGAGAGCAAAATAATGTTTCATTGCCTGTGAGCATCAGTAAGATTACATTAGTGCTGTACATCTTTTCAAGGATGCCGTTTCGGACGTTACTAGGGTGAAGCTTGCCTCATTAGAGCCTGTCTGTTCGCCTTTGTAGGTGCTTGCTGTCTGTACCACAAAGAGGGTCTGGAATGGGCTAAGCCAGCCTTAGAGGAATTATAGCAGTTAAAAGAGTAATTATAAAAGCAATGGCTACAGATTTGATTGCAACTTGATGGAGCTGCAGAAACTGTGTGACTCATCTTAAATAGAATATATATATTACAGTTATAAATCGGCTTTTTTTTTGTGGTTCTAATGGAATATTTAGAAATTGCTGTTTTTTGTAAAAATAACTTTGATGTTATACAGATATCTGGAGCTTGCAGTTGCATTGTTTATTGTGAAAACACACCCTTTAGCAGCAACTTTCTGTCACAACAGGCATGCATGTGCTTTTGGAAACACAGCATCAGGCATGGCCTTCCTACCCTGAGACTCTCAGTGAGACCGAAACAATGCACAGGATACATACACTGCAAGAGAGAATGGAATGGGTTGTGATGGCCACTGGTGAAACAGCACAAGCAGTGGATGTTTGGGATCAGGCAGAAGAAAGGAAAGAGGAGTCTCCTGAGTGAAGAAGTTAGGATGAAACAAGTGACATTCTGTTTCAGCTTCAGTGGATAAAATGGACTGTATCCAAGCTGCATCTGGATTGAAAAGGCTAATGTGAAATGAGCTCTCTTCCTAACCTGAAGAACATACTGCATACTTCCTAACCTGAAGAGTATACCTGAAAGACATAGGGAACTTGGTAAGTTTGTTTCACCTAGGAGACAGTTCAGTGGTGATCTAACTCCAGTTCTCAAGTGCCTTTGTGGAGAAGAAAATTGTCCCATAAGGAGATGGTTTTTTAACCTTACTATAAAGGCAGAAGAAGACTGAGAGGCTGGAGGCTCAATTTAGACTAATTCACGCTGTACATTTTTACAGCAGGTTCTGAATTGAGCCAGTGAAAGATTTTTCTCCCTCGGATGCAGCAGTCTGCCCACCGTGGAACTGGTAATCAAGATTCCTTTTGATGCTTTGTGAGAGAGGTGGTGTAGGTGCAATGCAGGAGTGGCAGTATGGAAATATGGATATGTTAAAGGGGATAAGTGCAGACGAGTGGTTCAGTCCTTCCTCACCATAGCTTTTCTGTTTTCCTTCTGTTCAGCAGTGCAGTGATTTTTGCTATGCGTTACTGGTGTGCAACATGAGATCGTGTTGAACCATCTCTAACCTTTTCCATGACAGAAGACACTGAATCAGGCAGTCTGCCTCCCAGGTCTTTGTCTCCTCCTGCTTTAGCTTCATTCTTGTCAAAGGGTGTTTGTCACTTTTGCACTGATGTGGGATCAGAACCTGGAGCTTGAGAACATGGGGTAAAATGGTCGCAGCCATGGACTCGAGGAATCACCACAAGGTTGTTCGTGGTGTGTATGGAGCTGCTCCCCCGGCACGACTGGACCACTGGGTCCTTCTGTGTGTAAGGGGCATGGGTCTCCTTTCACTCCTCCTTCTGAAGACTGCAAGGACAGAGATTTAAATAAAAGACCTTAACTAGATTCAAACTTCTTACAAACTTTCAAAATACTGAGCAAGGTGTACAAATTCTCAAATATTTGATGTTTCCAAGGGGCAGCGGTTGGAGTCCAGTGGCTGAAATCCATCCTGTTGGAACCATATTGTGAGCTTCAGCTACGTAAATTGGGAACATAGAAGTGATTTTTCCCCTAGGAAGTCATATTAACAAGAGCATTCAGGGAGCTTTGTCCTTAGCTTTGCTGAAGCCAGTTCCAGTAGGTAAAAGAGTCTCATGCTGATCTCATCTTTGCCATTTCCAGAAAGGTTTTGAAAACAGGAGAAGGGATCAGGGAAGAACCACGAACTGACTCAAGAGAGATTCCTGACAGCAAGAATATTGTGCATATTGACAAGGTAGCACTGAGGTGTCACAGGACAAAACCACTTAATATAGTGAAGGTCCCACATACCTGAAGAGCAACTGTAAGAGGGTCTCACCCAGAGGTTCCAGCTGCTGGGAGAGACAGTCTGGGAGGAGTATCCCTAAAGCAAAAACTTCCCCTCAGAGACATGCCACTAGTGCTGCTAGCAGGTAGACACAGGTGTTCTGTTTTGAGTGGGGAAATAGTCATGGAGACACATTTTTGCCTTCATATCAGTATATCTCCATGGTGCAAGCTGGTGACTTTTATAGCTATGATGAGTGACAAGCAACAGTGATCATCTGAGGCACTTCAGCATCAGCTTTGTCATCACTGATTGCTCTTACTGAAGCTTCAAGTGATTGGAGAAACTGCCCCAACGTTCATGAAAGGAGTTCAACCTCTTCAACCTACTGCTGGAAAATCTTGAAAACAAAGATATTGGTTAGTTTGGGGGGGATGAGATAAGTCAAATACTGTGTTAGTGAGTTTGGAAAAACATAGAAGGAAAGAAAAATGTGATTGTAGAGACAGCAAGAGTGATGAGAAAATGCAGAAGAGGTAAAACCCACAACAGCCACTGAGTTGAAGAGAGTAAGAAATGTTGAATTCAGGCTGTGGCCACCACAGGGACAAAGGAGGATGCACTGTTCCCCAGGGAGGTACATATTGCATCAGGATGAATGCTTGTGCCCAATCCCCATGCCTGAGTGCCATGTTTCACCTGTGTCTGGTATGCAGAATGGCACCAGGGCCTGGGCTGTGTCTCTCTGTGTGTCAAC